TCATCCAGAAATCCAGCTGTTGACAAAGTCTGCAACTGAGACTCGCCAAGATGAGCGGTCAAAAGTGCGCTAAAGGCAGGAGGAGCCAAGGCTTCCACAGGCATCGCAGCTGGTGCGTCGCTCGGCAAGGATATGGATGATGCAGCACTGTTCACATGGCCGTGATGATGTTTCCTACGACACGACATCGGCCGAATGGGCAACCGATACGTGAACACTACGGCCACTGGCTAAGAATCCGCACAAGGAGGCAGCAAGAAAAACCCTGCTCCAGGTGCAAAGTGGGTTCTTGGGCAGAAACCACGGTACACAACTCACATAATCACACATGTGCCAACCCCAACCAGGCCAGCATGCACTGAATCTGTATGGCACGACGGCGAGAGAGCGCACATGTTCTGAAAGCACATGCCTGAGCGGTTATTTGGAGGTGTGCCTCCCACCATCCCTACGTGCAACAGAACATCTATCACAATGTGACCCTCAAGTATGGGTTTGCAATCGTTTGCAGCAGCGGGCCCTTGCCTGCTGCGCAGCAGCCATGTGCCGTGCTGCCTGGACCGTGTCTGGGTGCTTGTCGCCCAGCCTGGAAGGCATCGATTAACGCGACTGAGCGGACAACGGGCATACAATTGCAATTGCAAGTCCACAGATTTCTGTCACACCAGCCGGTGCGAACAAGCTGCCAGTCTTACCAAAGAGTCCTGCTACTCGTCTGCTCTGAGAAAAGGTCTGCGCTCTCCGACCAGTCAGAACTTCCTGGAAGAGCTCAGCTGCCTGACAGATCCGACAGAAATGCTTCTCCGAGCTTCACTGCATCATCTGGAAGAGCGCTAGCGCCGACTTACAAGCTCTGCCTGACACCTTCATCCCACAAGGCTTGCCTTAGCAAACTCTTCCTTTGCGAACAGAAGGACCGCCAAGTTGTTTGCGCCTGCTGCAAAACCGCACAGCCGGAATCGAGACAGCAGAAGAAAACAGCAGCTGCTAGATACATGCCATGATGCGTGCCATGCACTTGGTAGGATGTGTGTGACTTTGCGCTGCTACCTCTGGAATGACCAGTCTTGTTTCGGGCGTCCATACGACTGAAGACCCCCAAGAAGAGGCTTGCAACATCTTGCAACAAGCCACCAGTCAGAGAGTCTGGATGCTTGTCACCAAGCTGGGATCGCAATCCGGACAACACCTGGAAAGCTCAGCGCGCCTCCTGCAAAAAATCTGCATCACACGAGCCTCCCGAAAGAGTGGCTCAGCTTCATCATACCTCTCGGCCTGTCATGACAAAATGCTAGCCTGTCCTGCATAAGTCTCGGGCAACCGGATAAGTTGAAGATCTGTGACACTTGATCACACAACCCTGCATCAATTCCAAAAAAGTGCACACAAACGCACAACGAAAGACACCACCTCGTGCAAAAGCCCACCAAGGCTGTTCGCACAGGTCAGTGTGTACGAATGCTTGACCTCCGTAGGTAATTCAAGGTTGCTGAAGCAAAAACTCTGAGGAGCCAAGGCGCGTGCTCCTAGCGTCTTTCGGCAATTTTTCAGCACTTCCAAAAAGATGGCCTCCGCCTCCTTGAGCAGACCTGGCGTTGAGGCGACACTAGTGCATCCTAACTGCACCTTGGAACTGGGTAACACTGCGTGATCAGCCCAATAACACAGCGGCCTCTGTTCAGAAGGCAAAGACCTTACAAGAACCAGAGTACAAGATTCTTCCGTGTATTGATGCCGACCTACAGTAGTTTCTTGAATGGGTGTGGACAGTTGGGCACAATGCAATTTCATGCCACAAGACTGACACATAAAACAGGAGATTACATCAAGTATCTTTGCCACGCTGCCGTAGTTGTTCGCCGTCATCAAAGTATCCACATGGGTATTTCCCAGCAGCTTCTTCCGACCAGTGAGGGCCTGCAAGACTCTGGCCCCGACGTACCTATGGGAGAGCTGCAAAGAACCTGAAGGCACCTCCTGATACAGAAGTTCTGCATCAACATGCTTGCCGCGGGAACGCATCAACCTGCCAGAAAAACAATCCTCAGACTGCCCACGGTACGACCTTCAAATGTAATGCGGGACCCTGCGAGATTGTTGATGCTGGTAAGGGTGTCCCTGTGATGGTCACTCAGCCTCAGTGACTTCTGCGCACGATGCTGGAAGCTTTGTGTGCAGCGACTTGGCCTCGGGCACCTGGCGCCGGCCCTCCAGCGCCTCCTTCATCAGCTCTTCTGCCTCCGAAGCTCATCAAGGAAAGGCAACACAAGCCATCATCAGTTGCCTCTTGTAGCTGATTCATTGCATGCCTCAGTTTACACCCCAGGGCAACATGTCATAGAGGCGATTGCTGAGGATTGGACAAGAGCACTGCCAGATTGCTACAGCTCGTAAGCGTGTCTGGATGCCGCACCTGCTGGCATGTCTCCGATTGCTGCAGAGCACCATTGCCCAAGTCATCCCAAGTCCAGGTTGCCGCCGAGCAGCTCCAAGCACTTCTCTCCTACCGTCCAAAGATTCTCTGAAAAGTGGTTCTGCCTCGGAAGATTCATCTCTTTAGACTGCTTTGAAGCAAACTGGCATCTTACCGAACTAGAGGCCTTGTCTAGACGACCCCGTGCCTGAAAAAGGAAGCACTGCAAGTTCAGTTCAACTCCTGCGCAACTTCGAACCTGAAACAGCGAAGCCAGGTTGTTGGCACTTTGCAGCCTCAAGCTCTCGTTGTCGGCTGTTACTATTTCTGCTCTTGGAGTGTCCCGAGATGTCCCGAGCACCGGGCGTGTCGGGATGAAGCAGGCCGAGGACGGCCCTGCGCCCTTCCAGAGCTGCAAAGAAGTGCGGCTCGGCCTGTAACGTTCTGCTTTCCAGTCTGTTCTCAACGCTGAATCCAGTGCTCCTCGCTGAACCGTCCCCATGTGTAATACCTCAAGATGCTTGGTCTGGCGGCATGAGGGGTTGAACGTGACAGAGGCCGCTGCAAGCCACCCAGATTGTTCAGGCTTGCAAGGGTGGCAGGATCATTGTCACCCAGCAACTCAATGCGAGCCTGCAGCACCTTCACGAAGCTTCACTTCCACTGCGCTGCCAGTGAGCTTAAATCAACACAAGATCAGCAAGCCTCCAGAAGCAACTCTTCAGCTTCTTGCAGCATGCCCTGCTCGTGCAGCAACCTTCACACATCTGCGCCGTAGGTCACTTGCAAGTCCAAAAGGCCACTGCCTGGCCAAGGAGTTCCCACTTTGTAGCGTCTGAACGTCACGGTCCCCCAGCAGCTCTCGACATCCTGTCATCACCTTCCGATCGAAGAATCCAAGATTGGCACTGCTGCTACTGTAGGTGCTGTAGGTGCTGCACATGTGCCTCTCTGTCAAGGTCCTCCGCCTCTCGTAGCCGACCACATGCCTATGAAACACTGCTTGACAGATAAAAATAAGCCTCAAGAGGCAACATCCGCACCTGCTTGAGACCAGCAAGGTTGACTGCCGTCTGCAAGACAGTCGGATTCTTTGGACCCAGGGAGGACTGGCACACAGGTTGATTTCAGCTGACCCCACTTCAGGCAAGCGATGAAGGGCAAAGGCCTTCTGGCCCTCGTAGGCCCGAATGTATAGAGGCTCAGCCTGCGCGCTGCAAGTTCGAGGCTCCATGCACAACACGATCTATCACGAAAATGGCAAGCACAGAGGAGAGCAAGGAGGTTTGTGAGAGCAGTGCTTGCGACATCCGCTTAGCATGCAGTCTCAGCATTTTTTAGCCTTCTTCTTAGCTTTCTCGGCTCTTTGTCCTTGGTCTAAGCAGCGCTTGCGGGGCCTTAGCTGTGCAGTATGCAGAACGCTTCTATACGCTTCTGTGCATGGCACCCTTTGTAGAACACGCATCCGACTTGAGAGCCAGCAGCAAAAACGCAGGCTTAGCGCTCGGAGCTCCTTCTTCTACACCCTGCTCAATGCAGGCGTGCAGACGAGGGCCAACAGTTGGCGACAACATCGCAGACCTGCCCTTTCCTCCAGAGAGGCCCAAAAAGGGTGCAAGGAGGCCTGAGGAAGCTATCACGGTGGACATCACCTAGGGGGAGGATTCAAGCTTCTTGGCCTGGAGCTTTCATCACGGACCCCCCACTTTTCCCAGCAGGACTGCCTAAAACGAGGATCCAGGCTCACAAAATGACTCCGAAAAGTACAGCGTCTGGCACCAAAATTCCAACCCCCAGACCCTCCCGACCCCACTACCCAGCCTCACATAATTCTTCTCACAAGAAGCTTTCGGGACTTAGTAGCAACATTGCCCACCGCAGAACACTCGACGCGGGAGGTTTGGACAAAGCTCTGCCACGCTTCGCCAAAGTTCCCCGCATCCTGCTGCTCTGCAGTTCGGGCAAACATTGCACACAGCAGCCAGGCAAAAACGTATTGCCAGCTTATTACCATAGCTGTGCGGGATACCTGCCCTGTGCCGGTCCTGTAGCCACGCAGAAAGTAAACAGTGGAAACAGGTTGCAGGCGTCCCGAAATGGGCCCCGCGGGCCCCTCTCAGGGTGCAGTCCGGCCCCGAATCTGGCCGCTTTTGTCTCACCCCAGCCCCGTGCATGAACGAACAAATCCTCCAGCCTCCAGCAACTTCCTCCATCTGCCAAATCAAGCTGTAAAGTTTTCAGTGATGCTTCGCACGTTGTCGCCTGCTTATCATGCACACTCGCTCAGATCAATCTAATGCTTTTCTATCCACCTGGCAGAAAATGCTCCCGTAGCCACTAGCAGAACAGCAGTACCCTGTACGCAAAGATGGCGGGAGAATACAGTCTTCCGTGTACGAATGGTCTTAAGGTAAAAGTGTTCTTGTTGCCTAGCTCAAACACCACACAACAGTGTAGCCAAGCCTCATGCAGGGAGCCTGCTGCGATAGATAAGAAACTGGACCCTTGTCAGATCGCATCCTCGACATGGGCAGAGGGACAACAATACATAGATCTCCAACGTTTAATGATGCAAATTGCCCATGACCCCCGTCCTGAGAACGTGCTCCCGAATCACGTGGCCATTGGTGGCACCCCAAATTGAAAACGAGACTGTCTCGTCTTCGGCCCCATGCTTGCAGCAAAGTCCCAAATACTCATCTACGAGCGCCTCTGTTGAGGGGTTAGTGCATGGGAATCCTGCATGCCAATCGCAAGCTCGACGGAATAGAGCAGGATCATGAAGCAGCTGCTCGGCGCACATGATCCCCTCGCAGTGGGTCACCTCCAGGTTCTGGATAATATCGGCCGGGCATCGCACATTGCCATTTGAAAAGACAGGAATATTTAATGCATCCCGGCAAGCTGCTATTGCACCCAGGTCTGCAGGACCTTCCCGGTGCTTGCTCTTGCTACACAGGAGCTTTCGTCCATGAACTGCCAATACTGCGCAACCAGCTTCTTGTAGCAGCTTTGCAAATTTGATTGTCCCAGCCAAGGTGTGCTGCAGGCGAATCTTGCAAGACACGGGAATTCGAAGCTTAGGGCTCCCGGTGCAGACCCGAATCATGTTGGCAATCAAAGGCCATGCAAGTTCGTCATTGGCAAGCCAGGCCCCATATCTGCCCTCTCTTGCTCGGCGTTGGGGGCAACCCAGATTCAAGTCAATGCCGTCCGCCTTAAATAGTGGCGGACTTGTCTACTGCCCTGTAAAATCAGTAGAAACCAAACTCAGAAGTCTTTTCAAGTCAAGTCGCCCCAAGCTCCTGGGCTGCAAGAGCCGCTTGCAGCAATGTCTGGGCATCATTGGCAGCAAACTGAACGAAGAGCGGGTGATCAGCATCGTCAATCTGGTTGCCTAGTGCGCGTTTGCGGTATTCCGGCGAAGCTGCAAATTCATCAGCCATGAACATCTCAGAGTAACAGAGAGAGCAGCCATGCGACCGAACCATCTCTCTGAAGGGTCTGTCACTTTGCTTTACCATCGGGGCCATCACAAAAACAGGTGCCACGAGGCCGCATGGCAAAGGACGCGTTCCGTGCTTCATCATCAAACAAGGAGCACCCAAGCGTCTAAGCTAAGCTTGCCCGCAGTGCAGCTAAACGCTTGAATTTCATGGTGTTGTTGCTAGTACATGATCTCTCCTTTGCTCATGTCGGCAGAAATTCATCCTGTTTCATGTTGTTTTTTGTGGCAACACATGGCTGGCACTGTGAGCCTTACCAACTGACTGCAAATATTCAGGTGCCCACAAAGGACGCACTAGCACTGCGAAACCCGACCGAACAACGGACTCTCACGGATGTAGCCTTGTCGAGGTGCCCCTGCTCTTCGAATAGGAGCGCCAAGCTGTGTGCTGTCTGCAAGGTATCCAAATGCCTTCAAGCTGTATAAGACTTCAAACCAAATCATGTAAAAAAGACATGTAAAAAGACAGCGGATGCCTCGGGCCAAGCATCTCAGATTGTCTTTCCAGCGCCTCCTCTAGTAGAGGCCTGGCCTGTCCCAGCTCACCATGACTAGCTCGGTAGCACAGAGCGTCATAACCAACGTCAGGAGCCTCCTCCAGTCGGTCCATCTCGAATAAGATGTTTGCCAGGTTTGAGATGCTGGCCAACCTGAAGCGCGATTCTTTCCGCAGCCTTGGGTTTCTAACTTTCCCCAGCTTGGATACAGACTTCAACGTCCGAATATGTTTTGTATAGGATGCCAAATACTGAATCACTGCCATATCATCTCCTGAACCGCAGCCATGTTTTTAGCACACTGTGTGCTGAGTGCTGTGCGTGTAGGGGTGCTGCATTCCGAGTGTTTCCTTGCATCCGTCGTGCACCTGCAATCACAACATGCAACGGTCTGGAACAGGACATCAAAAGCTAGGGTGCTTCCAGTCTGAGGTCGCTCTCAGAAAGTAATTTCTTAGCAGCTCCTCCCATGCTCAACTCAGGTATCAACAAGATGGATCTTGCTGAATGGAAATTGCGATTCGCTTGCACATCGCTGGGCTGGGCTTGATCAGGTCTTGGCTGGCTTAGCGTCTCTGAAACAAACAGCCTTGGTTACGAATGTTACGAGCTCTCCTTTTGTTCCGCGATTCACGCGGCACGGTCACAAGTTCTCATTTGGCTCCCCTTGGTTCTCTCTGTTTGATAAGTAACGTTCTGGCCCGTGGCTCCCCAAGCCCCTTTGAACAAGGTTTTGTTACGAGTTCTCCGTGTCGGAACGGTTTCGCTCAAACAGCGAGCTGGTACAACAAGCGGCTTTGTTAAGCCAAGAATCTGCAATCGCCTCGGGAGCGTAACAGAAAGGATCTTCCCACGAAACGCAGCCGCTGAAGATTGGATGAGTTGGCTTCATGATCGCCATACAAAAGCGCAACCTTGAATTACACACAAAGCACACGCAACTAGGTGCTTTGAGTACACCAAGCACACAAGTACAGAAGTACACACCTTCTTCACCTCACCAAAGGGCCGCCGATTCTGATGGAGCGAGGCAGAACTGTGGAGCGACCGCACAAAGCCCCAAAAGCCAAAAGAAAAAAACAATACCCCAAACTTCATCCGAGCTTGGAAGCAGATTGCGTTCCAAAACAGAGAGCCACCTCCAGATTCCCCGAGAAATCATAATTTTTTTCATCATTTTTTCTTCATTGTTTTTGGGTGGCTGCTTGGCGTCCGGAAAAGATCATCATTTAATCATCATTTCCTGCCTTCCTGGCTTCAAGGGCAAGGTGGGCTTGCACTCCTACCGACCGACGAGCCATTTCATGTCTTTTATTGGAGTAATATCCCTAAACCCTAAGCCCTAATAACCCCACATAGGTGTCCTCTTTTGGGCAGCCATGCTAAGATTTCGTACCTTGCTCCTACTGAACACTTATGTTAAGGTTTAGGGTTCAGGGTTTAGGGTCTAGGGTTTAGGATGTAGGCTCTAGGCCTAGGGTTTAGGGTTTAGGGTTTCGGATGTAGGGTCTGGGCCTAGGGTTTAGGGTCTAGGGTTTCGGATGTAGGGTCTAGGCCTAAGGGTTTAGGGTTTAGGGTGTAGGACGTAGGGTCTAGGCCTCGGGTTTAGGGTTTAGGGTTTACTGGCTGATGATACAGTACCGTGCAGACATGTTCGGGAAACCCTGAAGGAACGATGATGCATTTGGGCGTTTCCAGCACATGCAAAAAAAAGATGATTTAATGATGATAGGAATGTGCACAAAAATGAAGAATAAATGACCAAAACACTATTTTCTGGTTTTCCATTGTGTAGCTGACGAAGGATCTCTTAATTTTGGGTTCAAGCTTCTGGCAATTTTGGAGCGACTTTTGAGGCACCTGTAAGCGCTCTACGCTGCGTAACCAGGCTCTGGGCTCGGAAGTCTAGTAATTGTAGCTGCCTGTGCAAGCTGAGGGCTAGTTGTGTTTCCTCAACGGATGGGTAGCCAAGCCCCTGAAGACCCCGAATCGTTGGACGACGAGACCCACGTAGGCGCTCTGAAGAGAGTTTGCGCGTCGCTGAGAGCATTAATTCCACTTTGGGGCAGGACTTGACCCACACCACTGCTCAAGTCACTGTTCAGGGCATAGCCCTGGCCATGCTCAATCGACGTGTCAAGCACATCGAGAAAACCTTTCTTGCAAATCGTATAGACTAATCTCCTACACCATGTGGCAGCCATCGCAGAATGGGGGGGTTTGGCTGCCACTGCGGATATGCAGCCTCTTGAACAATGCCCAAGCACCTGCCCTAGCCTAGTAGGGGTGTTTAGAAACATCTTCCGCCCTGTGAACGGTAGAGTGCTTGGTCCTGCTTCAGATCTGCCACCCGCCTTGCATTCCTGAGGATGAATCTCGTGTACCGCGTAAAGGTGCCAAGAGATCGCTTGAACAGGACCTGCCAGGTTTCGCCAATATCATCAAGTCCATAGCAGACGTTGATTTTGTGCAAGCACGTGAGACCACCTGGTTGAGGGCCCTGACCCTTTGGCTGGGCATTCTTGAGGGTTGTGACCTTGAACGTAGCATGGGAGATCTTTTGTTTGAGTGTTTGACTACGGGTAATCGTCAGAACGCTCTTGAGATCATTCGTGATGCGCGTGGTACCAGGTCCCCTAAGACTGTTCTCAAGCGCGGCAAGGACCTTGTGCGATTCGTGAAGTGGGCCTCAGACCAGGGACTGAGGTGGTGGCCTGTGAATGCCAAGCATGTCCTTGCTTACTTCTTTCTGCTTTCAGATTCTTCCATCACGTAATAGGAGGCAAGGTCTCCTTGGAGGACGTACTAAGGCACATCGCTGTAGGCAGGTCAAAGCGCATGCAGGAGCACAGGCCACAAAACGTCAGGCTCGAGCTCTCACGGTTGACGAGCTGCGCAGGCTCGAGGAGTTGTGCATCAGCAGCAGCAAGGTGTATGACAGGTAGTTTGCCGGATGCCTCTTGTTTGCCTTGTATGCGCGGCGCCGGTGGAGTGACGTGGATCATGTTGATAGTGCGTCACCGACCTTTTCAGCATCATGCAGCAGCCCGCTGCGACAGGCTTTTCTGGGAAAAGCTTGTTCCAGTTTTGCGGACAGACAGGATGGCCACCCACCGCATGTGTAAGCTATCCAAGACCGGAATCAAACCTACAGGTGCAGGCGTCCGTCCTCTAGACTCAGTCATGGCCAGGATGCGTGATGATTCCAGTGTCATGTTCTACATGTTGCCAACCTTGTCCGTGCCCAAAAGGCCCAGCCCTATGCGAACTTGGGACGATGCGTTCGGTGGTAAGGGCAAAGGCAAGCAAGGCGATTGAAGCAAGGGCAAGGGAAAGGTCAAGGGCAAGTGGATGAGTGCTGCGTACAATGCGGGGAAGCTTCCTGAGCAATTCAAAAAGGCAAGTTGTGTTGCAGCCGACAGCCAGGGAAGACGCAGGTGAACCAGGCCCATCCGCAGCATGCTCATTCCAGCAAGTGAGGGTACGAGCCGCAGGCCTCTGGGAAAGCGATGCCTGAGGCTGAGCTCAGCGATGAGTTAATGCCGCAAGTTGGGTCTCGACCAACCAATGCATGCCAGCAGGCCGTGGCCTCCTCAGATGAGGTTGATCAACAGCCCAGGGAATCTGCAGAAGAACTCGCTTCAAAGCTTCTGCAGCAGGCCTACATCAGTCAAGACGACGTTCTGACTTTGTTTGAGTGCTTGCCCATCCGCTTCGTTCAAGGGACGCCGTGAACAGCGGCGACTTTGGACCACAGGAGCCTACTCTCACGGGGGGCTCAAGGGTTTAAGGTCCAATTCTGCCAATTTTCCTTTAAGCGCAAAAGTTTTGACCAAGTTCGTCAACTCGCGAGAAGGGTCCCTTGTGTTCACTTCTGTAGCCATCGTAGATGGAACTCAGGCGGGGCTTCATGTTGACAAGGACAACTGTGAAAAGTATCACAATTGGGTTCACAAACTCAGCTCCTTCTCTGGAGGAGAGATTTGTGTTAAGGGCCTGCCGCCTTGAAGCACAAAGGTGCTGTACTTAAAGGCAAGCTGCTGCGTGTAGGTAAGCAGCCATGCTACCTTCTTTCGCGCAGCAGGCGCTGTGTTTTGGATTTCAAAGGTCGCCGATGTGTCCTGGTAGCATACTGCGACTGCGTCCGTGCTCCCGAAGCTCTGGCGGTCAGAGAACAAGAATCGTTAACTGAGCTTGGGTTCGTGTTGCCTGGCCATGACAGTGCTCAAACAGGAGAGGTTCCCTCAGCTAAGCCCAAAGCACGCGCTGCGCCCTTGCGCAGGGATCCGTGCAAAGAGCCCACCGTGTTCAGCACTGAAATCTCCGGTACGGCAGGCCTTGCCGCGCAACTGAGGTTGCTTGGGATGGTGCATACATTCGGCGCAGACCATATAATCAAGGCCGGCGCTAAGGCAACGATAGTAAAGGTGGATGTGATGAAGCCCGAAAACCACACAATGGTGAGGGCATGGCTTCACTCTCCGCAGTGTCGTTTGTTGCATTGCGAGGTCCCACGCGGGGCCGTGTCTCGAGCGAGAGAGATCAAAAATGGAGGAACTGATCCTCTCCGTAGCGACACTCATTCTGAGGGCCTCACATGGCTCGAAGGCTTAGACAAGTGCAAAGTCACGCAGGCGGCTAACAACATATTGTGCCACGAGCTCGGAGTGGAGTGGTCTGTGGAACAACCCAGGCGATCGCTCTTCTGGTCCACCACGTATTGGCGGTCTGTTGCGGCGCCTGACCCCATTTGCGCCATCTTTGACGCCTGTATACATGGAGGGAGTAGAGCAAAATCCACCAAGATAGCGACATCAATTCCAGACGAGCCGCTCGAACCTCGCATGGGGGAGATGCCAGTTCGGATTTGCCACGGATATCCCCGGCAGTTGTGTCAGACTTGTGCCAAATGCGTAGCAAATGCGCTAAGATGCCAGCGCCGTCTGCCTCCCGTCGAGGAAGCTTTGCAATCGCCTGACCGTGCCCCAAGTTTTGCGCCGGAACTCGGGTCCTTCTTGACTTTTCGTGTGCGCTGTTTGCCACTCAAACTGCCCCATGTTTAAGTCCGCCTTTGCGAAAGAGGACAGGTAAGGCTCCATCACCAACTGCGCGCGCGTGCAAGACTTCAAGTGCGTCGCCTCAATCCTGTGGAGGAGGCGCGCTTCCCCAACCCCTAATGTTAGCATAACATTAATAAGCCCGCACCCCCCCAGAACTTGTTTTGCGATTTGGGCTTATGGAGGGGAGGGTTAAGTAAAAGGAAATCTGGAAAAATATATTATGGTCACCCCTTTAGTATTGCCGATTGGCCTAAAGTAGACCTTGTCAGGCTCCAAACTTGTTAGAAAGCAAATTTGATTGTCCGGGATTTTTCCGGCCCAGCAACTCACTGCTATTGTCACCCCAATTAATATTAGGCCCTAGGGTTGGTTTAGGTCCTGATGAACCCTTGAACCCGTTGATTCGTCAGTGCATCCATGTGCATGCGCCAGCGGGTCCTGATGACCCCCGCAATCCAAAGTTGACTCTCGCGCGGCTCCGAGCAGGACTGGAGCTCAGGGTCTGCGCAAGCCTCCTGCCTAGGGCTGGTTTAGACACGCGCTTAGACCTTGACCTTACCGAAAGCAGGGGACACTTGGTCAGCCCTGATCCTGCCGCCAACCCCAAGTGCTCAGGTGATTCCAAGGCGCCAGCGCAGGGTCAGGCTTCTCTTGAGTTTGTGGCGGGCGTTTATTTTTGCCTGAGGAGTTTGTTCTAGAGGCTATCAAGAGAGGGCATCCAGGCAGCCTCTTTGATGGCCTCTCCGCATTCATGTCCATGGCATGCGCGTTTGAGCAAGCACCAGGTCATCCAGCAACCGGGCATCCTTTTTCAGGAAATGGGTTTCTCGAGCCAAAGTGCTGGATCCAGCAGAAGCGCTGCTTGCCCTTCAACGATCTGAATAGCTCGGGTTCCACTGCCAATGCATCCATCCGACTCAGGGAACAGCCAAGCTTTGATGAAGAGCTGCGGCGCAAGACTTGCGAAGAAGTATGCAAAGGATGGCTGGCTCCGATAGATGATGAAGAGGCCATCAACAAGGGGCGATTGTCTCGTCGCTTTGCTGTGGTGCAGTCAGGAAAGGTTCGGTGCGTCGACAACTACAACGAATCTCAGATCCACGATACGACCACCGTGATGTGCAAGGTGACAGTGGACGGCGCAGACACGGTGGCGGCCATGATGTCCGAAACCATGCGCGCCTTGAGAGAGGCAGAGAAGTTTAGCGCAATGCTTGCTGGATCCTTTGACTTGAAGAGCGCCTATAGGCAACTGGCCATATCGGACGAGTCGCTGCAATGGGCCAGGATATGTGCGTTCAACCCTTCCTCAAGGAAGGCCGAGTGCTTGTAGCAGTTCTCTGCCATTCGGCGGCAGAGCTTCAGTAGTCTCCTTCATTCGATGCTCACGCGCTCGCCAGTGGCTTGCGCATCAGCTGTACTTGATATTGTCGTGCTACTACGATGATTACGTCAACGCGAGTCCTGAAGAGTTGGCTGCAAACGCTGAAACAGTATAAAACAAACGGTCAATTCCCGACTTGCAAGTCGTTCTAAGGCTGAGGACAATTTGTGTGCAGCTTGCTCTCGCTCACTTATGGTTTCTGCGCCTTGAGAGCTCGCGCGCCTGCGTTGACCCAACCAGGGTGCACCATGCTGCTCTGACTGGGGATTTGTTCGGAAGCCAACTTCCGCGTCCCACATAAACCTCCACAACCTCCACAGTGTTGAGCTTTTGGCAAATCGGTACGACTAGTCGCATTACCACTTGTGGTTGCCCCACGCAGCGTTCGCAATCTTTGCCAGAGCACTGGGAACATCCAAGAACTTCGCTTTCACAAAAAGACTTAAACCATTTTCCACCTGTGGCTCCAGTAAGCAGATATGCTGAGTGATGGTTTTCTTCCACGTATTTTGGCTGAAGGGGTTCTATTGCCCCAAGACACCGTTGCGTAGAGCTGTTATCGCAACAGTACGCAGCCTTTCCTCTATGCTCTGCGATGCCAGGAAAGCTCGGAACCGCGGCTGCGACCTCTGCAAACTTTGTGGAATTGTGCTGTAGCCCAGATGCTGCACAGGCCAACCAGACTGCCGTGAGCACTTGCCCTCGCATGCACTGATCCACAGGACATTCACAATAGGCCAATCTAATGGCAGCTATTCGAAGCCAAAGCTTCGGAAAGTAGGCGGACATTGAGCAAGAAGCCGAACGTGGGTCTGGCACTAAGCAAAGATGCCAGGACTCCAAGTAGAAATTATGGGAAGCTCCTTTACCTCAGCCCAATCGCCGCGGAAAACTATTGACACTTTTGCGCAAAACAACTGCGGCTCACTCAGAAGCCTCAGGACAGCTGCATCCTTCAAAGAATTAGCAACGCGCTGGGGAATCAAAGGGAAAACTGTCCACCTGCCTCAAACTTCCACCCATTCTTTTTCTTCAATTCCTTACAGTGTTTCAAAGAACATCGCACTTGCAAGAGGTTCTGTACGTTTTCTACCTCATGTCACACCATGCTCCTTCCATGTCTGTCTCTGGTGAGGGGGTCTGGGGGAGAGGTCTGGGGGAGGGGTCTGGGGAGGGGTTCCTGAAATCCAGGAAAATGACAACTTTCCCAGGCATCCGTCTGTGTTTCTTCTCATGTTTTCATGTTTTCTTCATTTTCCTCTTCATTCTTCTTCATTTTTCTTCATGCTTCTTCATTTTTATTAATTTTGAAAATCGAGGAAAATGGAATCTGGGGGAGGTGTCTGGGGGAGGGATCCTGGAATCCAGGAAAATGGGCAACTTTCCCAGGCATCCGTCATTTGTTCTTCATTTTCCTCTTCATTTTTTCGTCATTTTCTTCGATGTTCTGTAAAAATCTAGAAAATTGAGGAAAATGGGATCTGGGGGAGGGGTCTGGGGGAGGGGTCCTGGAATCCAGGAAAATGACCACTTTCCCAGGCATCCATGATTTTTTCTTCACTTTCCTCTTCATTGTTTCTTCATGTTTTCTTCATGTTCCTTTTCATTTTTCTTGATTTGTTCTTCACTTTTTCTTCATTTTCCAGGATCTTATTGAATTTTTCAACGAAAATCAAGGAAAA